TATATATATATATATATATATATATATATATATATATATTTGAATTTTTATAAAACTAATTTTTAAAAATCGTTTTAGAATTAAGAAGCTCGTCAATTAATTCATATCGGGGAGGTCCAAAATTGGGTGTCAACAACTGTCCCTCGTTTTACTTAGATTAATGCAAGAAATCTGAGGAAAACAAAATTGACTGATCCAATTTTGAACAACCACATATTAATCTCTTGGGAAAGGATTTAGGTACGGACTTTAGGAGTTATGGCCGAACCCCGGAAATCGGTTTCCTACATATCTCAGGCTATATGATAATTCAGGCCACTTGTAGTTTGATACGCTTGATTTAACACACGATATTGAAGGAAATCAACAGCCACCTCAATATAAAATTATGAATGGACTGATATGGTCAGGGATAGGATTTAAGAGCGAATATTGGAATACAGCCGAGTTATCAACGTTGAGCCTGCCTACATATCCTTAAACTAAGAATCAAGCTGCCTGTAGTTCGACTCTATCGGTAGAAAAGGAAATGTGTTATGCTAGATAACCTTTGGCTTCGGAGAAGTGACAAATCAAAAGAGTATGAAAAGGAGGCTTGTAACCTCTTAGCTATGAATGTGGTGCACTTAACACCCATAATTAAGAACTTACATGGACATAATTTCCAAAACCCTTGGCGCTTTGTCCTTAGATTGGAAAGTTGCTCCCGGTAGATCAAAATTCCGAATGTGAAACTGAAAGTGACAAAACTCAAAGAAAAAACCCACATGCCTTCTGATAGGGGTATGGTTTGACTGTGGTGGAATTCACTCCTCTGCTCGCGTCCTAAGAGTTTGACACTCCTCTTTGGACTACGTCACAGTTCACTGCTAAGAAAAAGTTCCACATTATGTTGCGTCCCTTTTGACGTCGTCCGCACCATGTCGACACTTAATTGTTCTCCTCAACCTTTGATGTCAAATCAATTTGTTTGACGTAAAGCAAATAAAGCTTATGTCTTGTGTTTACAATGTAATCTTCAATGTACTCTTCATTTGATGTCAACATAAAGGAAAGTTGATGCGGTGTGCTAGTATTTCTCTTGTTGTCGTCTTCGATGCTTTTCTTGATATTTACTTTTATCAAAATAAAAGAATGCAGTTGATGCTGATGGATAAATATTTCTCTTGGGATGCACGATTTTCTTTTCTGGCAGTGCATGACTTCTTGTGGGGCATGAATATCTTCCCGCGGTGCGTAAATTTCTACGAGGTATGAAATCTTCTCACGATACATAACTTTCCACGAGGGATGAAATCCTCTCGCGATGTGAAAATTTCAACGAGGCATGGAATCTTCTCGTGATGCATGAATTTTTGCAAGGTATGCAATCTTCTCGCGATGCATAAATTTCTGTGAGGTATGAAATCTTCTTGCGATATATAAATTTCAGCGAGGTATGAAATCTTCTCGCAATGTGTAAATTACTACGATGTCTGAAATCTTCTCGTGATGCATAAATTTCTGTGAGGTATGAAATCTTCTCGCAATGCATGATCTTCTGCGATGCATGAATATTGACTTGCAATGCATGATTTTCCACGATGCATGGATATTGACTCGCGATGCATGATCTTCCGTGATGCATGAATATTGACTCGTGGTGCATGATCTTCCGTGATGCATGGATATTGACTCTTGATGTCATCCTTGTTACTAAATGAAAATAGTGCTTCAATCGAGCAACATAGTGATCTTTTGGGTGCTTTCTGGATAATCATATCGTCTCCAATGATGATAACGATAAAACGACTTCCAAATAGTATATTGTCTTGATCGATAATAAAATAATTGACCCCTCTAGGTAACACATAATATCATATCCGACATTATGATGCAAATGACGTCCTTTACGGAAACCGTAAACTCTTCCTTGAGATTTTCGCTTGATTACTTCGAATCTAGCCGGACGTTCTTTATAAATTTCATGTTGTTGGAAATTGATTGAAATAAACAGATCGTATTCCAAGTCTCTGACATAAGCGATATAATGATTCTTGCTTCTAGGAAAACTATTGATTTTGGGATAGTCTTCTCCTCCTTTGACTTCTCTATATTCATCCATCGAAAGAATATGCTGATTTCAGAGCAAAGCTATAAACCTGCGTCCACAGAAAAATTCTTTAGTTTTAAAAACGAACTGATCTGTGTCGATTTCTTCAGTTGTCTGCTCCTTGTCCTGCTATGTTTAGTTGATTTCCCGATCTCCCAAATCTTGAAAGATGAGAAAAAATATTTTATGCCAAAACAAATGAAACGTAAAAGGGAAAATTTAAGAGAAATAAATTTTTGAGAAATAATATCTGAAAAAGGTCACTGTCAAGTCATGTCAGGCTTAACAAACTTCTTTGAGTCTGATGCTTCGAGGTTTATCTGATTATTCGCTTGGAGTTCTTAGAGCCACTCCGGACTTGTAGAGACATGCGTAAATTTTGAGGCCATTCTTAAAATTTCTGTCTAGTTAACTGCCTTGCTTATCTTTCCACTATAACTGAGTAGATCATGGAATTTTTGATATTTATTAAAAAAAATTCTATCCTAGTTGCAAATCTCGAAATAATTTCAGTCTTGACATGCTGAGGATGAATCTTCTTCTCGAGTATTTTTAAGTCCCTCTCAAAAATTCTATCCTAGTTTCTATTGTGAAGAGAAATAGAAATCTTAAAGGAGATATGACCGAACCCTTGTGGAGCCTACGTATCCCGTTGAGGTAGGAATCAGGGCAAACGTAGTTCCCCTTAAGGTTAACAACAATAAAAATATTTTAAAAAAGAAATCGACCGAGGACGACATAGGCTTCCTACGTATCTCATTCCTGAGGATTCAGGTCGAACGTAGTTCAAATACAAAGGAATACTTAAGAGGGATAAATGGGGTGACCGAGGCCGACATAGGCCGCCTACGTATCTCATTCTTTAGAATTCAGGTCAAACGTAGTTCATTACAAAGGGATATTTAAAAGGGATAATGGGGTGACCGAGGCCGACACAGGTCGCCTACGTATCTCATTCTTGAGAATTCAGGTCAGACGTAGTTCAATACAAAGGGATAAAAATTTAGGAAAAACAAATACAACAAACAGAATGATTACAAGCAAAAAACAGAAATTCGAACCGAAGCTTCACACGTAGTATCTCTGACAGCATCTAAGTTGATTGATTTCGGCCATGCGGTGCCATCTATCTCTGACAAGACCAAAGCACCTCTGGATAATACCTTGCGAACTATGTAGGGTACTTTCCAATTTGGCGCAAATTTTCCTTTGTATTTGTCTTGATGAGGGAAAATGCGCTTAAGGACCAACTGACCAACTTCAAAAATTCTTGCTCTTACTCTCTTGTGAAAAGCATGAACCATTCACTGTTGATATAGTTGACCACGACAAATGATGACCATTCTCTTCTCGTCGATCAAGTTCAACTGATCAATTCACTTGCTAACCCATTCAACATTACTCAACTCAACTTGTTGGATAATTCTCAAGGACGGTATTTCAACTTCGGCGGGTATGACTACTTCTGTCCCATACAGTAGAAAGTACGGAGTAGCTCCAGTTGATGTTCTGATGGTCGTTCGATAACCCAATAAAGCAAATGGCAATATCTCATGCCAACCTCGGTGATTGTCAATCATCTTCCTCAGAATCTTCTTGATATACTTATTGGCGGCCTCCACAACTCCATTCATTTGAGGTCGAAAAGCAGTTGAGTTTCGGTGAGTAATCTTGAATAGCTCACATATATTTCTCATCAAGTGATTGTTAAATTTGCACCATTATAAGTAATTATTGATTCCAGTTTTCCGAATCTGCATATCAAATTGTTGCGAACAAAATCAGCCATAACTTTTTTGGTTACCGACTTGTAAGAAGTTGCTTCCACCCACTTGGTCAAAAAAATCAATAGCAATCAAAATGAATCAGTGTCCACTTGAAGTGGCTGGCTCTATCGGACCGATGACACCTATACGCCAAGCTACAGACGGCCAAGGTGAACTCATAACATTAAGTTCATGAGGCGAAACTCGTATCAAATCGCCGTGCACTTGATATTTGTGGCATTTTTGCACAAACTTGCAACAGTCATTCTACATAGTCATCCAGAAATATCGGGCTCGTAGGATCTTTCTTGCCAAAGTGAGCCCATTCATATGCGTGCCACAAACTACAACATGTATCTGTTCAATAAGCTTCGCAGCTTCAACATCATCAACGCATCTTAGAAGACCTTAGTCTGGAGTCCTCCTATACAAGATTTCTTCATTTAAAAAGAAATTGATGGCCATACAGCGTATCGACTTCTTTTGATTGGACGTAGCATCTTCGGGATAAGTTCCATACTACAAATATTTCTTTATATCAAAATACCAAGGCAAATCGTCTGGTTCTATTTCAGCATGGGAACAATGGACTGGATGTTCTTTCAACTCTATATCTAGAGGATCAATATAATCTATATCCGGATGTTTAATCATCGAAGCGATGGTGGCAAGAGCATCGGCCAATTTATTATATATTCTAGGAGTATGTATGAACTCGATCTTACGAAATCATTTGCACAACTTTTGCACATACTGTACGTAAGGTATAATCTTTGGGTTCTTCACAGCCCATTCTCCTTGAACTTGGTGAATCAAAAGATCTGAATCTCACATAACCAACAACTCATAGACGTTCATGTCGATGGCCATTTTAAAACCAAGAATAGAAGCTTCGTATTCGGCCATATTGTTTGTTCAATTAAATCGAAGCTTAGCTGCCATGGGATAGTGTTGACAAGATTCTGAAACTAAGACTGCTCCAATACCTTTACTTTGATTATTTGCCGCTCCAATAAAGAATAATCTCAAACCTGGATATGCTTCAGAAATATCTTCACCCACAAATGACACTTCTTCATCGTGAAAATAAGTCTTAAGTGGTTCATACTCTTCATCAATGGAATTTTCTGCAAGATGATCAGCTAAAGCCTGTGCCTGACCCCATAAGCGGGACCAAGCATGTTACTGCCAGAAGCAGAACCTCGTATTTCTTCTAGAGAATCTCCTAATTGTTTTAGAGCAACTAGAAAGAGATTCTTTAACCAGAAAGAATTCGGTTCAGATGTACGATACCTATTTAGAAGTTTTCGCAACTCAATCATAGACCTTTATTGCTTTCTGTGTCATATACACAATGTCAAATTCACTCAACAACATTTTCCACTTAGCTAACTTTACGGTCGACATTGCCTTTTGGAAGATATACTTCAGTGGATCCATTCTGAAAATGAGGTATGTAGTATAAGAAGACAAATAATGTCTCAACTTCTGGGCAAGCCACGTCAAATCACAACACGTTCTCTCCAACAAAGTGTAACGAGACTCGTATGGAGTAAACTTCTTGCTTATATAATAGATAGCCCTTTCCTTCTTTCATGTCTCATCGTGTTGACCAAGTACGCATCCGAATGCACTATCTGAGACAGACAAGCACAACAACAAATGACTCCCTTCTCACGAAGGAACCAATAGTGGTGGATTGGACAAATAGTTCTTGATAGCATCAAAAACAGTCTGACACTCTTCAGTCCATTTTGTCGAGGCGTCTTTCTTCAACAGCTTGAAAATAGGCTCACACACCACGGTTGATTAAGTTATGAATCGACTGATGTAGTTTAATCTCCCTAAGAAACTCATCACCTCTTTTTTGTCTTCAGCGGAGGTAACTCTTGAATTGCTTTAATCTTAGAAGGGTCGAGCTCAATACCCCTTCTACTGACTACAAATCCCAACAACTTTCCGGTTGGAACTCCAAAAGTGCATTTGGCTGGATTTAACTTCAAGTTTTAAAGACACAAACAATCAATGAATTTCCTTAGACGTGTCAAGTGGTCCGAACTCTTGCGGGACTTGATTATGACATCATCCACATACACTTCAATCTCCTTATGAATCATGTCATGAAATATGATCGTCATAGACCTCATATAGGTAGCACTAGCATTCTTGAGGCCAAATGGCATCACCCTCTAATGATATACACCCCAAGGTGTAATAAAAGCTGTGTTTTCTATATCTTCCTCATCCATCAGAATCTGGTGGTAAGCTGCATAACAATCCACAAATGACTGCATCTCATGCTTAGCACAATTATCAATTAACATATGAATATTCGGCAACAGAAAATTATCCTTCGGGCTAGCTTTGTTGAGGTCTCTGTAGTCGACACAAATCCTGATTTTTCCATCTTTCTTGGCAACCGGAACAACATTAGCTAACCAAGTTGGGTATTGTGTCACTTCCACCAATCGAGATTCTATTTGCTTGGTGGCTCTTCTTTGATTTTTAAACTTAGTTTGGGATGAAGACTCTTTTGCTTAACCGGATCGAACCTCGGGTTAATCGATAATTTATGAGATACAACATTAGTACTTCAGCCCTTGCATGTCGTCGACTTCGCAGACGAACACATCAATATATTCAACAAGAAAATGAATTAGGCCTTTTCTTTGAGTTTCATTTAAGTGGATGCTGATCTTAACCTCTTTAACGCATTCTGGGTCTCCCAGATGTACCATTTCTGTTTCCTCTAGATTTGGCTTATGCTAATTTTCAAATTGCCGAAATTCCTCAACGACGTACACTGGTTCCTCACTTTCTTCTTCATAATCATCAACCTCGTCATTACCACCCTTACTTTGTTCATTCAGCTAGTGACATGACATGACATTGGCAGGCTTAAAACATACATTACTGAAACCATAAGTAAACAAAGTTAGACAAACAAAGTGTAACAAATGATTAATAAATAACTTTTATAAACAAAAGAGGCTTTAATTAAAATTTTAAAAAAAAGCAAGCTTTGGCCATGGCATAGGGACATGTTGCCTTCTTTGAACATCATGATGGAAATTTCAAAATTCAAAATAGTTAAAAATTATGAAAAATAGTGGGTCTGGGTCTCTTCTGGACTATCACCAATTTTAATATGCATGAAATGATGCCCTTCTACCGAGGAGTTCGGGGGATCAAGATGGGCGTGGAGGTCCAATTCTGCAACATATCTCCTGGCTAAGCATCGAGGTGCCAGCTAGCTCGACCTCTTCCTCAATAACAACATCGATCTCCTCGAAGAGGTCACAGATTCCTTCCCCAAGGTTTTCATGCTCGGCATACTCCTAGACTTGGAAGGATGAATACAGATTTGGGATTGACTTAGCCAATGCTTGATCATTTTCTTCTTTATCTTCAAGTCATCATCTATGGGGATGTACCATAAACCATATCTGGCTCCCTTGACGAGACCCAAAATAGGTTCAATAATTCCTTGGGTATTTCTTCCCAATCCAAAACCTGGTTCAAAACCATTCTGCAGCATCACAACGGTTATCATGTTGTACACAGAAGGCATTGGAGTCTGTGGGGCCAAGTCTTCACTGGTGGAGTTTACTAGCTCCACCATGTAGAAATTTGTACCTCGCGATATCTCATCCATAATCGGCGTATGTCTGCCGGAGTGACTCCCTTCCCTATGAATAACCAGCTCTTCGTTCTTCCAAACAAATTTCATCATCTGATTCAAAGTACAATGGACAACTCCATCCATATGGATGAAATGTCTTTCAAGAAGAAGGTTATATATAGTATTGATATCCAATACTTGAAACTGTGTATTGAATTCTGTTGGGCCCATTTTGATGATCAGATTCCCTACTCCCAACATATCTCTCTGAACCCCATCAAAGGCTCTTACGTTGACTTGGTTTTGTTCCATCTTTCCAAGGTCAAACCTTAGTTTCCTCAACGTCGACGATGGGTAGATATTTAGAGCAAGAGACACGATTGACAACCTTTTTGTGGCATACCATAGTGATGTGCAACACCTTGTTGTGTGACCTCTCTTTGAAAGACAACTCTTCGTTACAAAAGGTGATTCGTTGCCCTCGAATAACCTGTTGAATCATAGCGGCCACGTCATCGATGCTTGTTCCCGTGGGTACATATATATCATCGAGAGCCTTCATCAAAGCCTACCTTTGTGATTGAGAACTCATCAGCAGGACCCATACAGAAATCTGGGCTAGATCTTCTCCAAATGCTTGATGATAGAATAATCTTTCGGCTGCATTCTTCTCCTGAATTCCTTCGCTTCTCCTTCGCTTATTGGCCTTTTAGCCTGATCCTTCTTTTGACCACTGAGAGAAAGCTTCTCAGGAGTGTAACATTTTTCAGATCTTGTCATGCCTTGAGCATCAGCAGTTTCAATAACGAACATAGGCTTAATGAGAGTTTTTGATGGCACCAAATCAAAAACTTTTGCGGGTGTCAAAATAACGTACTTTTTCTTCTCTTTGATGCTCAAAGAAGCTACAAACTTTTCCAAATCATTTTCGTTCCACACCAGTCATCGTCGGTCTCGATCATATTGACATTGTCGCCTCGATGATTCGACAATGGGTTGGTGTTGACATTTGGTGCCACTGGTCGGAGAGAGACTACTTCTTGGTCAATCAAATCTTGAATTTTTGCTTGATTTTGATACAATCCTCAATGTCATGCCTAACACTGTTTGAATGATAAGTACATCTCTGATCGGGTTCTGTAGAATTTTGAATTGACATCCATGGGTTTGGGCCCCACTGGATGGATATATCTTGGCCGCAACCAGTTTCTCGTACATTTTTGTTTGACTTTCAGCAAGTGCAGTGAAGTTCCTTGAAGGTTTCTTCTCGAATATAGGTCAGGAAGGGTCATAACTACCTTGTTAGGGAGAAGGCACCTGTTGATAACATCTGGTATTTGGACGGAGATCTTGGCCTCTGGGATGTGGATTTATTTTGTAGTTTGGCGATGGATCTTGGTAGTTCGGGTGGGGATTCTGATATGGTGGAGCTTGGACTGATAAGCAGGAGGGGGTGCTCGGTAGCTTGACTGCACGTCAGCACAGTTGGGGGCAACACCCTGGTAGTGAGATGGAATTTTGTAGGGTGGAGGATGATTTGGGTAAATGGGAGATGGATTTTGGTAATTTGGGGTGGACTTTGGTATAGTGGAGCTTGGACATTTGGATAAGTGGTAGTAGCATTCAGGTAAATTGGAGGATTATTTGGATTACTATCTTGCGTGTAGAAAGCTTGGTAGGACTTTTGGGAAGGCCGGGAACGACGTTGGGAATATGAAGAGCTTCTAGGGGTTTTCCTTCCGCCATATGAAACAACAACGATTTCTTCTTTTTTCTTTTTCAACAACCCTGAAGATCCAGGCGATGCAGCTACACGGACTACCTTTCCTGATTTTAACCATCCTCGATAGTCTCACCAGTCTTGACTATCTCAGCAAACTTCGATCAAACGAGCAACATAATTCTATAATAATATCCGGGCTCTTGCACGCGCACAAATACTTTAACGATTTCTTTCTCAGACATGGGTTGTGTCACCCTTGCTGCTTCTTTTATCCTCCTATAGGAGAACTCCCTATAGCTCTCGATTGATTTTTTTTCATCTTCTCCAAAGAATATTGGTCAGGAACAATTTTTATGTTGTAAGCAAATCGATTGATAAAATCTTTGGCCAATGCATTCCAGCTGGGCCATTTACTAGTTTCATGCGATGTGAAACATTCAAGAGCTTCTCCACACAGGTTTCGATTGAAGAGCCGCATCAGTAAAACTTCATCTCTTCCAACTCCAACGAACTGGTCGAAGTAGGATCTCAAGTGAGCCATATGATTCCCCACTCCTCCAAAGGTGTCAAACTTTGGGATCTTGAACCCTTTTGGAAGGTCCAAATTTGGATGAATTCATAAGTCTTCATAACTAAGCCTGACGATATCAGGGATGCATTGAAGCTCCTTCATGGCCTTCTTGATCTCTTCTTTTATGCTGACCTTTACCTATTACTTTGCCCTCCACTCCATTCCTATTCCTCATAATGGTCCAGCTCAGAACCGTGCAAATCGTGCTCGATAGGGACGATAATTTGGAAAATGTCTCTTTTTTGTAAAGGTGGAGCTACAGAGGGACTCTGAGCATTTTGAGCGGTTCGATAATTCTATGGGTACATCTGAGGATTGGTATTCTAATTTAAGTGGTGGTGGGGTGTTTGGGGATTGAAAGTATTTTGGTTTTGATTTTGTAGTGGTGGAGCGGTTTGGTGGAGGTATTTTGAGGATGTGGTGGCATTTGGGGATGTTTGTTTGGAGGAGGAGGTGGAGTTTGGTAGGATGTAGAAGCATATTGGAGATTTTGGGTAGTCAGATCTATAACTGACGGATTCTGACCAGGTGTAGATGGCTGGTTCTGGGCTGGATTCATATTTTAGGAAGGGAAGTATATTGGAGGCCTCCCATCAGCAGCGTTAGTAGCATATCTTGGTGGAGGCAGATCCTGTCTCCTTTGCATTTCTACTCTCATCACTGCTATCTGTTGCATCAACTGCAGAATCAACTCATTCTGGTCTGCTACGATGGGTTGAGCCACCACAACATCAGTAAGACTCACTTCTTCGTTATTATCCCCCATAACTGTTTTTCCTTTATCTGAGCTTTGTCTAGGGAAGGAATCTGCATGACCTTTTGATCTGGTGAAATAGGGATGATCTACCAGCTTTTGATCGACACAGATCAGTTTCAAAGTACCTGAGAAGGAAAACATTTCAAAGGCAGACTTGTCAGTGTAGATTCAGAATACAAAATGCATAATATCACACAGAGAGAAGATAAACACACAAATTGCTTTTTTTGAGGATATCTTCAACTCACGAGTAAGGAGGGAAACACTTTTTTTACAAGTTGGAGTTTGCTTATTTTAGTTTTGACACTGTCTCAGAAATGCTAAATCACGTTGAGCTAAGGTCTTCTTGCAGCTGCTTTTTGATGTCCGTTTATCTGACCTTCGAATCTTCTCGTAACATGAAAGGGAGAATGGAAATTTTTAAAGATAGGGGTCGGGCGTGGAGAGGCTGCCTACGTATCTCACAAGGAAAATTTAGGCCCAACGTAGTTCGAGTACAAGATAAAAAATTTTCATTCATTCATTCATTACAATTTCAAGGGAATTGAAAGGCAACAATAGAGGTTTTAGAAGATGAAATGATGACGACACGTTAGTTATTTCCATTCTTGTTGAAATGTTAGTCTCCTCCTTTCAAACGACCTAGGAATGGAGGCTTGTAGATGATTTACTCTTTTTCATCTTCCTCAGTTGCTTCAAGGTGAGCGTTGTTGGGACCACTATTGTCTCCTTGCTCGTAGACGGGGTATTTTTTGCCCATTTTCTGAAGTTTATCAATTATGTTGCTATGGAAGGCTTTATTCTTCTTCCTCAGTGCGGCCGTACATTCTCTCATGTAGGCAAATTCTTCAATTTCCACTGTCAGCTCCTCATCAATTGGCATGCTTTTAGCTAACAGAGCAACTGTCTCCGATTCTATCCTCGCCTCTCTCGCTTCTCTTTCTTGCATTTTCAACTGAAGCATGTCCAAATTCTCTCGCAAGTCCTCTATCTCCATCTCAACATCTTTCTTTCTCTTCATATGTGATGCAAGATCCTCATCCAGTATCACGGTTGCAGCTTTGTAGATTGCAGTGGCCATGTTGACTCTGAGACCTTCCTCCTTGGCTTCTTGAATTTCCCGAGTGATCTGTTCTATCATCCTTTGTAGTTATTCTCCAGTGAGTTCCATCTGGATGTTCTTACCTTTGTCCATAGTAGTGATTTTTGCCTTTCCTGAGATGGTAGAATTGTGTTTTAGGGTTTGGAGATGGGATTTGTCTTTTGAATGAGAAACTTAAGACTCAGAAAGTTTTGGTTGCACATTTGTAATAGTGACTTTTGTATATTCTTTTGGAAATTTCTGGATAGGAGTGGGTTTACGATATCCTCATTCATACCAACATAACACATAAGTACTTAAACACACATATATCGCGTCCTAACACATACATGGGGGCCCTTTTGTGCCAAGGGTAGGCCTAGCATATTTGAATGATGTACGTTTGAATTTTAACCAAATAAACAATTCGCCCCAAAATAAATATCACTAGTGAATAATAATGTTCACAAAGGGGAAAGTAAAGGATAAAATATTAAATACAAACCCACGCAGCGTTCATATGAAAGTGCAATATAGGAAGGCCCACACAGGGCTAAAAACATTGTAAATACATATAAAAACCCACGCAGGGGCCAAGTCCACTATGCCGCTCCAAATGATCCTGCTCTATCGCGGTCCCCCTGAGTCTTGTATTGCTGACACATATATCTTAACATCAACAAGAATCCTTTACCTAGACGTCCTTTGTCTTCCAAGCTTTTGTATCGCATCCTCCCGATTTCTCCTTGATCCAGGTATCAAAATCATCATAACCATGCCTTAGTCTTTCCACCTCTTGAGTCACCCTCTCAAAAGTATCTTGGTTCTCAACAAACTTAGCGTACACCTCTTGGACCTCTTTCTTAACCTCTTATAGCTCGAACATTTCTTTGGCTTCTGTATCCGTTATGCTACGAAAGATACACGGGGTTTGGGAGTAGACGTTTTGTATGTCCTTCTTCAACCATTCTTTGTTACCCTTGTCATACAGCATTGAATCGGTCAGGGGCGATGGTGTCTTTATCCATACGCTTGACACTTTTCTGTTCTCTGAACATTTCAGAAGCGTCGTGCAGTCTATCATCTCCAATATCGTATACATAAGTTCCATAGTACACTTTTTTGGGTACATTTTGTATCCTCCAAAACTGTCGCAAGACTCGAAAGGGTGCATAAGGGC